CTGAAATTTTTACGAAACTTTGTTGAGTTTTCCTAAATTTTGTATAAAGTGTGAATCTGTGATATGATTTTGGTTAAACCTCGGACGGTATTTTTATAGAAAAATACCAAAAGAACTAGCTCGAAAAACATTACGAATATTTAAAAAAAAATCAACACGTGGTCATTTGTTTGAGTCACTGTATATATTGTTCTTAAAAACTTTTAATATTTAATATTGATAAATGGGATTTTCGAATTTTAAAATGGGATAAACAGGGCGTTTTTCAAAGGAGAATGGGATTTTCGTACCTTTAGAGTTGGCAACATTGTAGACAACGCTGCGAATATGGTCAGTCTAGGGGATTTGGTCAACAAATAACTACAAAATATTGACAAAATGAATAGCAACAAAAACGAACATAACATAATAGATATGGAGTGTGAAGATGACGAAAGTCATGGAGAAAATGAGGATGTAGCACACCCACCATACGATGATGTTGCTGCTTTAGACGCTAGACAGTTAAATTTATTCAAATTTGGAAATCGATTTGGCAGCAAGCGATAATATAACCATAATATAATTCATATACCTTGAATTTAGCTGTATGTGATTTTCTAAAAGAAATCAAAGACATACGGAGCAAAGTAAAAACGGTCGTTAAAAAACTAATAACATCTGTTACATGCAGAAAAGCTGCGTATACCTGTTATCGAATGCGTAATGCGTTGGGCCTCCACATACAACATGTTTTTAAGTTTATTGCAGCTTAAAAGCTTTTGTGAGAACTGATATTGCAGATTTGCATATAAGCGAACCAAATTGGTTGACTATCAAAAGCTTGTTCAGTCAATTTCCATAAAACTTCAAAAAATATATCTTGTTTTAAGTGATGTATATTTTGCATGGTATTCATGCAAGAGTGACATCGAAAATATCTGGGGAAAGTATGCCGCTTTTTTTCTAAATCACTAAACAAACGTCGAGAAATTTTGCTGCGGAATCCGTATGTTTTGGCTGCTGTTTACCGTGGGTTCAGTATCAAGTACTCCTTACTGATTCTAAAAAAACTACTGCAATTGAACACATTATACATGTTTTTAATCTAAAATCGAAATTTAATGGTATGCAGGCTAATAAAGACTCGTCACCCTCTTCAAAATTCAGTACCATGAGGAAATGGATGAAATTTTAAAAGAAATAGAAAATAATGAGACGAAGTCCAAAAATAGATCATTAATAGATAAAATCAAATTGTTTGATAATACAAAGCGACTTTTAAATAATGTTGATATTTTGAACTTTTGGAATAACTACCCCGACAAAGATTTATCTGAATTGGCTCAGATTATTTTTGGTGTTCCTGCAACCCAGGTTTCGGAAAAGAGGACGTTTTCCACCCTAAAATTTATTCTTTCGGACCTACGAGGAAATATTGAGGACGATTTGCTAGAAGATATTCTTTTCATAAATCACAACTGATTATTGTAAATCAAATATTTTATCAAAGAATTTCTACAACTATGTATATGTTTTTATACCTATATTTTTTGGACTATTACTGAATGAAACATATATATGTGCAGTTTTTTTTTATTATTTCCGAATCGTTGAACCGAACCGAAACCCCGGTTCAAGGACCAAAAAAACCGGTTTGACGAACCAATCCAAAAGTGTAAAAACGGTTCGAGCCGCTGAACCGAACCGCCCAAATTTTTTATCCGGTTTACTACCCTGCTGAAAATACCATGGATAATGGTTAATCGAATAATAGTCGTTTATCTACTACTAGTCGACACTCGCAATAGGGGCGTTATTATCATCCTGCCGTAGGACCAAAACCTACTGAACTAACATCACAATGTAATTCAGTTTCCCTATCTCTACTGTATATTGCCAGAACCAGGCCTTCAATCAGTCGAGATTTTAGTTCGTTGAGTGCATTGAAACACTTCTCATCAAAATCAAAATTAGCATTCGTTTCAGCAAGTTTTGCAAAGGTTTGGCTATCTGAGAGAACGATGCTACAAAACGCCGAGTATAAAAAAACATCCCAATAAAAGAATGCAATTGCTTTTGGTTTGTTAGTATTGGAAAATTGCTAATTGCCCTGATGTGAGAGCCATTTGGTCGGAACCCCCGACTGGCTCACTTCGTATCCTAAATAATCTACTTCCTTATATCCAAACTTTGATTTATCTAAGTTGAGCTTTAATCTCCGCACTGAAAGGCGTCCAATGCAAACTTTAATAAAGCCATTGTTCCTCAAATTCACTTCTAGCAACTACAATATCGTCCATATATAATATAATTCTTCTTTCGTCAATTAAATCACGTAATATACTATTGATAAAACGTTGAAATACGGGCATTCTTAGTCGGAACGGCATTCATATTCATATTGACTATTAGGGATCACAAGAGGTATATGGAATCGATTCGGGTACATCTGCACCTGATGGATACAGCCCTTCAGGTCTAATATAGAGAATAGTTTCTTGCTTTCAATAAATTCGATGCAGTCATCAGTAAGAGGTAATGGGTAATTATCTCTAACCGTTACTTTGTTCAAAGCACGGTCATCGACACACATCTTACTCTAAATGCAAAAAAACACGGCCCAGAATAACCGAAGGGGACATACAATTATCGTAAATTATTTTTAATTCAATATCTTCAGTTTTATTTTGAAATGTTATTGTACAATTAATTGTACCATTAATAAATATCAGCTTGTCACCTACATATATAGGTTATCGAAATTCTTCATGGATCTTAATTCCAGCTCTTTTGGGACATACGACGATCTGATGTAACTAACCGGATTACTAGTATCGAACAAGGAACAAATCGAATTAGACACTACTCTTTCAACTAACATAAATTTAATGCTACTTCGCCCTTCCGCATCAGCTGCTACTTTGGGTTGGGACAGGCCCGATGATCATGCCACAACCTCCAACATCGAAAACATCATCCGTCTGGTCGTCGATAATATGGACAATTAGGCTTTATATGCCCATATTTCGAACAATTGCATCACAGCGGTTTTTGGTCTGCTTTCTGTTTCGTCGGTACTACAGGTTTCTGACTCACAGCCCCTGAAGCATTGCCCATCGCAAAGTATTTGTTTTGATATCTGCTTATGATCGCTTTCAGCTCGTCGGCAGTTGTTGCCGAGAGAAACAAGTGGGCATTTGGTATATCGCCGATAACATCGATAACGAGGTCAACCACCTCCTGCTCTGTTACTCTGTCAAGTTACCGCAAAATCAACTTCAGCTACTAGCGCTTTCTTCAGAGCGCAGTTGTTGTTGTTGTTAGAAACACACGCGCTGTTCCCCGCATGATTTCCTCGAAGTCTCTTATGAAATATTGGACCGGGTATGCCACATCATCCCCATTATATTTCGGCAGGGCATGCTCGATGTCACCGAAATCGAGTTTGCGTTGGCATTTCGTTGCAGAGCGGCCCTCCAATTCTTCGATTTGTTTCATTAACTTCAGCGTTTGTAACCTTTCCTCCAACGCCAGCACTTTCTGGTTTAAATCTGCTAGGTTGGACTTTGGTGGCTCATCAACTCTGCGAAGGACAACGGCGGCATCGTCTGGAGCAGTAATGGGACACTCGGCATGGACGGCAGCGGCAGTACTTTTATGGATGGCATCGGCAACAGCGTGAACGGTATAGCCAGCAAGGGCAACGACAACACCAATATGGGCTATTTCCATCAGAAACAGCATGAGCGGCAGAAGTGACAGCATCGGCAGCACCGGTATTAGTATCGGCATTGGTGTTTTCACTTCCGCCCACCACATTGCGCAACAGATTTCGGAGGTGGGCAGTGTTGATGGGGGAAAATCTACCTGAGCACATTGATGAGATCTTAGCGAGTGTTTGCTATTTCGTCAATAAATTCTTTTCCAGATAGCTTATTGCTTCGGCTCCACACCTGAATTTGTAAAACTTTAAAATTGATTATACTTATCTGGATGCAATAAGATTTTGAGCACAAATAAAAACGCGTTCAGTCGCTCGGCTAGTCGTCCGGAAAGAGAGCGGCCATTAATTTATTTTTGACAACTAGGGCAGCCATTAGGAGTACATGGTCGCATTTGACTATAATACTTATACTACGTTTACGCCAACGGTAATTTTTAGTGACATGAAACTTGTCCTTTATTATACTAAAATTTAATGGGCTACAAAACTTCATGCTCGAAAATTTTCTAAACATTCTGAATAAAAATTTTAAATATAATAAATTTTTTTTTCATTTTTCCTAACAAACTAATCGTGGTACAAAGCTCAATAACGATATTGGAATTAATATTAGTATGCCACAAAAAATTAGCAAAAGTTTGAAATTGCGATGAAAATGTTTTGAAGTTTGATGCATATTTGTGAACTTTGTGTAATTTTTTAAATATTTATTTCTGTGGTTTCTGTTATAGATGGAACTATATTTTAAATGAAAAATATTAAAAATAAATAAATAAACAGGAGTTACCAACATCATTTTGAATTTTGCTACCATTATTTTGACCGCTGTTGTGTGTGGTTGCTCAATTTCTTATTATTAGTATTATTCCTTTGCATATAGATGTTTTTAAAAGTTGCAAAATTTCTATAAAGTAACGCGATTTTAACGGTATTAAAATCAAAAGAAAGGTAATCGATTTACCATTCTTTCGATATTTATTAGCATTTAAAAATCATTTATAGTGGTTTACTAAAATCCAGTTTTCTTACAAAATTTCAAAATTTCATCGCGTTTATTTGGCTTACACATAGATGTTTTCAAAAGTTGCAAATATTCAATAAAAAAAGTAAAGTGATTTCATCGGTATTATTGTCAAAAGAAAGGTAATCGATTTATCTTTCTTTTTATATATATTTGCGATTAAAAACCATTTATAGTGGTCCACAAAAACTCACGTTCTCTTACAGCTTTGCAAAATTTGATCGCGTTTTTTCCTTTTTGTGTGTTAAAATAAATATATACAATAGAAATAAATATGAGAAACTATCGAAATAATTTATAATAAATTTGATAATTAAGCTTCAAATATTTGGAAATTAGACTAGTAGTGCTTGTTGTGCTATCTCCACAGATTCCCGGCGCTCTTGGACACTTTCAAATCCGATTGGCAGAATGACTCAACTCCATTTATATATATCATTAGCTGATGAGCTATGACGATTGTATTCGTGGAACTGTTTGTCTTAACATAACAAGTTTCCGCCAAAATTTGAAAAAAAACAACAAATTTTTTTAAGTAGACATTTGTAAGCATAGTGGGATGCTTTGTCAGGCTCTTCTTTGCTCTTGTAGTAATTCGCTAGCGCCATTATATCCTCATTTTCATAATCTCCAGATAATCTGCACATAGAAACTGCTTCGACAAGGGAATCTAAAAGAAAAATTAACATGTTCTAATAACTAAAAATACATAGTCCACCTAAAATATAGTCATTGAATCTACTCAGAAAAATCCTCCATCTCAGTCCTTGGAACTAATTAATCTTTCTTCTCCATGCCCTCAGGCATTGGATCCTCCGCTATCTAAGGCCATGTCCACTAGGTCTGTGTCTAAAAATATTGTCGACAATTAAACCGTCGATTAAACAGTGTTGCCATCTACATCTGAAGCTGCACTGTCTAACATAAGTCCTCCGAACAGCTCGGAATCCCGCATATCTGAAATCACTACCAAAAATTTGGTTGTAATTCCACCGAGAAGATCAATCTTTGTCTCTAGATTTGCTAAAGACACTTCTTCTGACGATATAAGGCGTACATATCGACTAAAATTAAAACTAAAGATGTATTTATTCGTAAATTTAATTTTAAATACGATCGCGATATTTCATCTTTTAAAATTGATGTAGCTGCCGAAGATTTTAATTCACTACTAAATAATTCATTTTGGCGACTCATTCATTCAAATCAATTCATTGTCGCGAGTTTGAGTATAAACCTAATAAAAGTAATAACAACTTAGCTAAAATCTCTAGTATTAATTCTGATTCAAAAAACTAACTCGCACGTCAACTTTAAGTATTTGCTATCCAAAACGTTAGAGGTTTGAATACCAAATTAACTGACTTATATTAAATATTATGTTACCAGGCTAGTCTGATCTATGTTTTTAATGCGAATAAAACTACATTATTCCACTTTCTGGCCCAACGTTTCGCTAAAACATTTTTAGCATCTTCAGGGGCAATCCAGCTTTATTAAATCTGCAACAAACCATAAAATACAAAGGCTCATTGTAATCAAAAATTAATGAATATAACATACAAACATACATATACATATATGGAATTAAAAAATATAACAACAATTTGAGGACAAAAAACTCACAATATTAAAGAACTTTATAATTATTTGGGCCAAATTCTTATTTGTTATGTTTGCTGGGTTGGAGCTGCTTCGGCCGATAGTTAAAAAAGCGAAAAATTTAAATTTTCCTTTTACCCTCCTACGCGTTTCAACGCTCACGAGTCTTCACGAGTATTGGAAAAATAAAAACAAATAAACAATAAACATGATTAGCAAGTAAAATTCGTTGATGCAAAAACAATAAACATAGTTGACGACAATTACTTTACAGTAATTCTGACTTTGAACTCACATTTACATAAATATTATTGGCAAAAAAATTTTAATCAAAGATAAACGTTAGCACCATTTTAAGTATCATTTCACAATATTACCAAATTACAATCCTATATTCTTATTTATATTTCCTATTGATTACAGCTGCATACACGTTGTTGGTGTTATCCACGTCCTCTTCAAAGTCTCTAGTTGTTGTTGTATACGTAGGCTTTCTAATGTCATTCTCCTTTTTACCCCTCTTTCGATGTCCAAAATTCTCGTATTCCCGAAGTCCGCAAATTGTTCGTGCTTCGTCAAGTGTTGTGCAAGTGCTGTTGTCATCTTTTTGTTTCTCTCCTCCGCTTTATGTTCGCTAATTCTTGTACCCAATGATCGTTTGGTTGTGCCTACGTAGCATTTGTTACAGCTTTCAGTATCATTCCCCTTACATTCTATTTGATACACCACATTATGTTGTTGTTCCTTCAGAATTCTGTCTTTTGTTTT